CTCATCTTTAACTATTGCCTGTTTAACCTTTGGTATGTCTCATATCCTCCCATTTAGAAGCCCTAAAGCTACAGCCGATCCTCCGCATGGAACAGCAAATGGAGGCCGTTACATCCATCTTCTGTGGACCCTTAGACCACCCCCTTCCGATGGGACCCCGACTGCCGCCCCAAACTACGACCCCTTGGCCAGCAGGAAGCAGCCAGAAAGATGCGGCGTCCCCTGTCCCCAACGGGAATTTTAGGGGAATTATATATAGGCAGGCTTAGGGAATTTTTAGAATTGGGGTCCATGGAAAAACACAGGGCTACAGGCTGGGAGAAGGTACATTTCCACAACACAGGGAAGCCAGGTGCAGTTACATTTCCATAAGACAGGGAGCAGCAACAGGTACACCTCCCTAAGATAAGGGAGCTGGAAGTAGCCAAAAGATCTAATTTACATAATAAAGAAGAAAGCCAGAAAGAAAAGAACAATGAGGGAGGCGGGCATCCCACGTCCCATGTGGTGTTTGACCTTTGAGCCCAGGAATTACTATAGTAACTAGTCTAAGGGAATAGTGACCAATCAGGGGATATCAAGGCACCAGGACCTGCAGCCTTGATAAGCCATAGGGAAAAGGAACTCAGTGGGACCCTGTACCCCTCCCCACATGGGAGTCCATTCTGTGGGACTCTCTCCCTCTCCCCACGTGGGAGTCTGTACTTGTTCTTCACTAAATCTCCACCTTTACTATACTACCCTCTGTCCGTGGGTTCATTCTTCGACTCCGGCGGACAAAGCACCAGGGTCCCAGTCCAAAAATTCTGTTTCACCACCTCCCACATCAGCTTCCTCCTCTGGAAAGCAGGCCAGCACACTGGAAGGTTCCTGCCAGAGCTGAGCCCACTGGACAGGGGAGGTCGGGGTGTGGCTCAGGGGCCCCACATTCTCCCAGTGGTCTTGGAGAGAACAAACCTAGAGAGCAGGATGCCGAGAGCTGCGGAAGGTGTGTGTGAAAGAGGTGTACACAGACCCAAGGTCAGAGGCAACTGGGCAGCAGGAGGCGCCACGGTGGTGGTGAGCACTGCTGGGCCAGAACCACCCTGAGGTGTGTACCCTAGATTTTGCTTCCCTGGCCTTGGCCGTTCCCCACGTCAACCCTCTTGAACCTTCCCCTCCCCCCCAAAGAAGTCAGGGAGCCATCTGCTTGGGGGAGCACAGGCTTGGCTACAGCACCCAGAACTGCAGAGCCCTCCTCCTGGCTCCCTGGCTGGCCCCACGCTTCAGGCACCGGCCTGGGCCAAGGCTGGATGCAGGCCTCCTCCGTGCCCAGGGGCACCAACCTGGCCCTCAACACAGCAGCGTGGGGAATACAGCCGGGAGGGTGCTGGGCGTCCTCCTACAGCCCAAGGGGGTGCAGAGACACACAAGCCAAACGCTCTCTCCACTTTATATATACACACACACACATACACACCCACACCCGCACCCCTGAGACCCAGAAGG